TGCTTAAAGGGACCCGACCCCCACCCCAGACAGACAGTTCTCAGGGTTCCCCGCTTGCTTGTCTACCTCGATGAGGGACAGCAAAGCAGTCCTGGCTTGCAGTGCCCTGAGTGCCCACACTCGGCACATCACAGCACTTGGCCATCAGCCCTACTGCACTTGATGCAGGCTGCCATCGGGGGGGGCCAATCTTGGGGCTGCAGGAGAGTTTCCACCCCGAGGAGCCCGCAGAGTCACCCCAGTCCTCCTCATCGGGGGCTCGTACCCCATTCCTCCCTCACATCCTTCCACTTACCCCTCTCTAGCCCCCCTTCCTGGTGTACAAAATAAAGGACACGTGTGGTCAAAAATAGAAACTCTCTTTATTTAACAAAACTGGGGGAGACTGGGTAAAGGAGGTGGGAGAGGGGAAGAGAGAGGGTGGGAGAGGGGAGGGGGAAACCTGGGAGGAGGGAGCTGGAAGGGGGAAGCCAGGGGAACAAGGAGGAGGGGAAGTATCAAACTATGGTACGCCATATCTTCAGTACCGTGAACAGATGTGATCTCCTCACCCCAGAAAAGATATTTTGGCCGGGACACACTTACTAAAGGGATCGTGGGGGTGCGTTCAAACCTTTGCACAAACCTCTCTGCCCCCTTCCCTCCCTCCCTGCATACCAGCTTGTCTGTTCTGTTCCTGATGCTCTGACCACACCCACCAATGCCTTTTAGTGGAGCTTTCCAAACTCAGCACTTCTATCTGATGCCTTTATCTGCATCTAGGCAGCTTTTGTGTGCGCAACAACCAGTTTGACAGCTTCCAGGGCAAGTGGGTGGTTTCCTATCTGGCTGCTTTAACACTGCACAAAGAACTGCAGCTGAGTGGGTCAACACTAAGCATAGGCTGGAAAGTGTTTACATATGGCCACTTTGCACAGGAGGGAATTAATGTGGGAGGAATGGGGAGCCATATGGAGACTGAAATTCACACAACCACTGCAACAATAATCACCACTTGAAAGTAGCAGTAAGTACAGGCAAAGCACTTCTATACGGTGTCTCTTCTTCAAAGGCCAGTACTAGAATGAGCTATTTTATTCACTCGCTGGCCACACTTTTGTTCTGTGTGTACACAACCACGAGCACAGTGGGGCCCTAGTCTTAGGCACTGTTGCAATATTTAATAAGAATAATTGTCCCATGCAAAACTAAACAAAGCTTACCTCTCTGGGACCAGACATTCCTGCATGCATCTAAAAAGAACTAATGAATTATTGCACACATTTACAAACGTTCCTGTTGTTGTACCACTTGATATTACATTATTTAACAAACCCTTCATTTGATTTACTTATAGGATAATGGGAAAGCAGGAAGGTCATTCATAAGTACCCAAGATAGACAGAATATAATATCTCTAAACGTGTGACTGATTCTCCACCCTCTTCTCTTCAATAGGTTTCTAAAGCTTTTCCTTCCGTTCAAGTGCTAGTGAAGCAGTTGTACTGTTGCAGCAGGCTGCCATGAGAGGTTAGCAGAAGTATCAGTCAAGTTGGACAAGGCACAGGGAGAAAGTGTCCCATGGTAATGACCATGAGGGTTGGAAAATGCAAGCGACAGTTTGCCCAGCAGAACTTGAGTACTGAGACAGCTTGAGAAACTAGTCCTGAGAGCAGATGTTATGAGGACAAGTCCTAACCATCCTCTCTTTTGAATATCACTCTTCTGGGTCTGAGCAGATTTCCAAAGATATTGAACACCCCCGGCTTCTATTGACTTCAACCAGAGCTACAGGTGTGCATCTCCACGGATAATCAGAACCTGAGAGCCCAAAAGAGGGAATTCAAAACCTCTACTGAGCAACCAAAAGAGGTTTTGAAGATACTCCTTCATATTTTCTCTCCTTTCCCCAGCAAAAGAGGTGTTTGTTTTTGTTCATGCTATAGGAAGAAGGTGATTCTGCTGTCTTAAAGTTACCATCTACACTTGACCACTTCAGCCACATTATCTTAAGATACATGAGATCCCGAGAAATCGTATCACTGAGCAACAAGATGGAAAATGAAACGTCCTATTGAAAAGCAGAAGGTAACTTTTATTGGAAAGAACCATTTAAAGTATCCTGTGAATTCTAAATAAACTGTAATCTTATAGCAAATAGTCTATACCTGGTATAACTATACCTGTTTCTAAGACAATATATTAAGAGCAGTACCAAACTGTGTGTAGACCAGCTTCCAGTGTAGAAAGTAGAGTGGCAAAGAGGTATGTAAGTGGGGAAAAGAAAAAGCAAGTGCTCAACATATTTACCCTAGAGCAAGCACTCTGTATACCTTGTCCCACGAGACAACACTCAAAATTAAAGTGCTGCTAATTTGAAATTGAAAAAAGGGAAAATTATTTTTACACGCCTTAAAACTGATTTATGAGGCCACCCTCAGGAATGAGAAGTTGAACAATGGACTAGGTTCTGCTCTCTGAGTCACCAGTGTTAAACCAGAATAACGCCTGAAAGCAGTTTAGTAGTTTTAGTGGATTTACCCACAGTAGGCGAGATGAGACGCTAGCTCTGCATTGGCAAACACAGTAGCTAGGATTTTAATTACAAGGATTATTGATCCTCAAGCTTCAGGGAACAACCACCCAGCTGAGCTCAGGAAGGAACTTCTCCTGCCCTGCTCCTTTTGCTTCAAGCAAGGTTCACATTGTGTCTGTGGCACAGAGGAGAGAGAAAGAGAGATTCTGCTCTCACGTAAACCAGCGTAAATCAGGAGGAACTAGCAAAGTCACTAGCATTATGCTGGTGTGAGCAAGAGCAAAATAAGCTCCCTCTTCCTTTGTGTTAAAAAAAAAAAAGTAACAGCTTTGATCCAAGTTAAAGAAAAAAATCCTGAGGCTCCAGGCTGATGCTAGTAACAGGTAATAACAGCTGCCCCTCACACAAACTCCCTGGCTCGCATTCTTCCAGGGAGGCAGATACAGGCCACACAAATTCATAGTTAGATTGACCTGAGCATCTCTATTCTTTGTCAACAGCATGTACCTGAGCTAGTGGCAGGACCCCCCTGCAGGGTTAATAGTCTGCATGGGCCTCCCACTTTGTCCTGAGCCCTCTTGACCTGCACACGCTGATTCTAAAAGGAAGTTCTCTCCACACCATGGGCTGGCAACAGCTCAGCAGCTCTTGTTCCCCCATGAAGGGTCAATGGCACATGGCACATCGAGAGGGGTTGAAAGAACAAAGGCAGGTAGATGACACCGCGTTTAAAAGGCAGACTTGGCTGAAGCCAGTTTCTTCTGACACGCATGCAATAATGATCTCTGCCAGGCATGGAAAGTGCAGCGTCAGTGGCTGACAGGGAGGAGCAGAGAAAGCCAGAGCCTATTGACATGGCACAGAAGTCACATCAAAAGCAAGGAGGATGCCCTGTGGAATGGAGACCAAGGCCAGGTCTGCACTGCCCCTTGTGTCAGCAAAACTTTTGTTGCCCAAGGGCATGAAGAGACACACCCAGGAGCTCACTTGCACACTGCTCTGTTAGCGGGAGATGCTCTCCCATTGCTAGAGCTACCAGCGCTCATTGAAGTGGGTGTGTTATGCCAATGGGAGAGCTCTATCCCCCACCCCCCTGGAGTGCCCACATCAGCCATCTTACAGACACACAGCTAGATCAATACAGCTGTGCCGCTGTAAGCTAGCTATAGTAGACATGGAGACTTCAAGAGAGGCAAAAAGATGAATAGCAGGAACCTTAGCTCACAGAGCTGGGATAAATATATACATGTGACTCGCCGGCCACTCAATCCTGGACACTCTGTCAAATATATCAGGGTGGGAGAAGAAGGCCAATGAGTTACAAAGGGAAGAGGATTGAAAACCACAATGACTTGGCCACTTTCCACAGATCCAGGCCAGCATCTAACGTGGGGCTGCACAGGTTCTGAAAGCATGGCTGGGGGTTGCAAGAACTACCCTGCCAAGACAGAGATGGGCCCAGACCAAAAATTCCCAGATCCCCACACCTCTGCACTTTGGGGTATCAGAAACCTGGATCAGAATTTTGCAGGTGGGGCCCGTATCTGCTTCCAAAGTGAGGCCGCTGCTCTGGGGGCAGCCTTAGAAGTCACTGGTGGCCAGAGGTGCCAGTGCCTCCAGTCCTCTTAAATAAGATCAGTGTCTCTTAAGATTCCTTAGCAAGGTTCTAAGAAGACAGGCTCTAAGATAGGGTCATGACTAGTGCACGGATACAAAATTAATACCCGTATCCACATCTGTGTCTGCAAAAATGAGCCGTGGAGATCTGCAGTGGATGCGGATACCTGTGGATAGCTGCAAATTTGCAGGGTTCTAGGTACAAAATGTGTATCCACATCCATATATGCAAAATGGAGCTGTGGATATCTGCATCCACGGATGTGGACACCTGTGGATATAAAACCGATATCCACAGATTTGGAGGGCTCCAGAGATGAGGATGACACATTGTATGGGGGAGAGGGTGGCATGCCTAGACAAAAAGGTGTGGTTGATTGGATACTCTAGCACCACCTGTTCCCTATTGTTCTGGACACATTTCTGCCAAACTTTCCCAAACTTGCCTGTGCTTTATGGAATCAAGCGTCTCAAAGCCACAGAACAGCGCACACAGAGTCAGAGGCAGCCCTGCATTCTGCAAGGCCTGGTGCAGAGATGGATAGGTGCACGGTGGGGAAGGGAGAACCAGGGAAATTTTTCATAAGCCAGGAAATTGGTTTGCCAGGTAGAGGGAGAAGTGGGTCCCTGCAATAACCCTTTACACCCAGATCATGGTTCAGCCTCTGCAAGTGCGCATGTGGCAGCCACCAAGGGTCAGCTGTGTTCTGTCCAGCTGGAATGGTGCACTAGGGGCTCTCTACAGGGCTCGTGCAACTTCAGGCTGCATCCAAGGCCAGTCCAGGCAATAACTCCAGCAGTACAAAGCGAGCTGCCGGCTGATTCAACAAATCATTAACCTCATCCCTCTAACCATGAATGCACTGACCTTGAACTCCTGATCAGGTGCGGCACTGTCAGGGCAGGTGGATTCCCTGCTGACAGACAGACAATCCCAACTTCTGTTGGCGGGTGTGAGAGACGTTCTGTGAGTGTGGTGCTCTCGGTCTCTGAGGGTCCCACAACTGGAACAGAAAAGGGTGCTACCGGGCAGGATTGAGGAACCCTGGCAAAAATGTCTGTGTCCCCCTGACTGGAATATCAACGAGTGTGACACTCGCAATGGGGAGGGCAAGCCAGCATGGCCTTCACCTAAGCTCTTCTCGGCTCGGCCAAGATTACAGCTCGATCCACTGTTACAAGCATTGAAATTCCCTGCCCACCAGATACACAAGCCAACAGCTGCTTTCAGTTGCAAGCGTTCCTCCAGAGCATCTCGTTAGCCTGCCCCCAATAGGATCCCAATGTGTGCACGCCTGTTCAGGGAAGTCTGGCTGTTACGTGAGGCGCTGCTTAAGTCCCAGGTTTACCATCCATGTGCCAGCAGCTAATAACTGGGAACTGGAGCAGAGACCTTTTCGTTGGGGGTCCCCAAACAGCCAGAGGAGACAGAGGTTGGGGTCCTGTGAACACAGTGCCCTAACTAGGTATGGGAGAGACCTAGGTCTGGATTCCTGCTCTGGAGCAGAGAGTTAAAGCCAGGTCTCCCCTAAGCTCTGAAACAGGGATTTGAACCCAGCTCTGCCATAACCAACAGGTTCTTGGCTTTCCTGGGGTGGATCTCTCCCCCCTTTCTCCCATTGCAATTGTTGTCCAGGATGAGCCCCCCAAATCTGAGACTCTCTGGTCTGGCAACATCCATGATCTGGCAGGGACACAGATGTTTCTGGACCAACAAGTCCAGGAGGCCAGCAGGAGCCAGCCAGAAGAACGCATAGCTGGAGAGCCCTGGCTGGGCCAGGTGGCGGCCGTGGAGCCCTGGACAGGCTAGGGAATCCCCAGCAGTCCTGACAAGGTAAAGCCAGGCAGGAGCAAAGCCAGGTGGTGGCAGGGGAGCCTTGGCCAAGGAGCCCCGGGGAACACCCAGCAGCAGCGAGCCCATCAGCAGCCAGGTGGTCCCAGCTGGAATCCTGGAGAACTCTTGCAGCAGCGAGTGGGAGCCCAGCCTTGGGAGCTCTGGGGAGAGGAGCGCAGGAGTGGGGCAGCCAGCAGGGGAGCATTGATCTCCCCTGGATGGGCAAACTCCCTGGTTTGGGACCCCTCAGGTCCCGAGAGTGCTGGACCAGGGAGGTCCGACCTGTACTTTGCATAAAATACTTGAACAATCCTTGGACCAAATAGCGAGACGCAATGAAAATAACTAATCTGGAGATTAGGGCACTCCCCTGGATTAGTGGTCAATCCAACCTCAAGTCCCCATTACAACGAATAGGTAATGTCCTAATGCTACAGCTACACTAGCCCTTTTGTTGATAAAACTTTTGTCGGGGAGGGGGTGAAAAAAAGCAACAGCCCTGTGTGATATAAGTTACACTGTCAGAAGCACCAGTGTGGGCAGCGGTATAGCGATGGGACAGCTTCTCCTGCTGGCATAGCTTCTGCCACTCGCTAATGGCGGAGCTCTCTCCCATCAGCACAAAGCAGCTACCCAGGAGACATGGCAGCAGCACCGCTGTGCCATTACAGTAATTCCTCATTTAACACGTGGCTGCTTAACACGTTTTTGCAATAGGACAATTTTTTTTTAGGGAACGTTTTTTGAATTACATGACCGTCCCCGGAATAATACGATTTCCCCAGCTGACCCCGTCGCTGGCGGGTGCACGGGGCTTCCCCCGCCTCCCTGCAAAGCGGCGGAGGGTTTGCTGCTTGCCGTGCTGTTCCCCGCTGATTCCCCTTTACCGGACACCTTGCCCCATCTCCTCCGCCCCCACTTGCAGGCTGGAGGCTGGGTTTCCCCATCTGGCCTGTTGCCTGCGGCTGCGCTGGGCTTCTCCTGCCTCCCTGCAAAGTGGCAGAGGGTTTGCCGCTCGCTGCGCTGTTCCCCGGCGACTGAAGACTGTATGCAGTATAGGTTGAAAACAGAAGTTGTGGACAATGTTTGTGAAAACCTAAAAAAAAGTATTCATGTTCTTCTGTTACCTATTAAAATATTGCTGTTCTAAAGATGTCACCATAACATACTCTTAAACACACAATCATAGTTTTTATCCTCTTATTTTAAAGCCTGTACCGTCTCTCCTAAGGGAAAATTGACCCCACATAACATGTTTTCACTTAACAGGATCATTTTCTGAAACATATCTACAGTGTTAAATGAGGAATTACTGTATAAGGCCTCTAATGTAGCCTAAAAATTACAAGGGGGCCACCGCTTTCATTCAAGCCAACACAGGCTTCTCCAATTCACTGATCATTTCCACAATGCTCAGATCCGGGTCAAACCAAACCAATATTTGTTTCCAGTGCCAGCAATTCACACAGTGCAGCTATTCACACAGTCCTCTTCACAGTGCCTCCCACCCCTTACGTGTACACACGCGCACACACACATCTCTGCCGAGACACCACTAAAGTTGAGCGGCAGCTTCCAAGTACCCAATATACCTCAGGACACTGCTCTCCCCAGGGTTAATAGGTGTCCGGTTTTCGCCCGGACAGTCTGGTATTTGTGGCCCCTGTCCGGTAAAAAAAACCAGAATATACAGGACATGTAAAATGTATCTGGCAACCCTACTCTCCCCAGGAAGACTGTGTGAAGAGAAGAAATTTCTAGCCTTCGCTTAGAGTAAATTACATTCCTGCAGCCTGTCCCACCACGTCTTTCCTCCCACTCCCTCATACATTCTCTCTTGCTTTCCTGGCTTTACATTCCTATTCCCTCAGTGTGTATCCTCCTCACAGCCCATAACTGTCTCTGCCCATCCCTTTTGCTACCTGGCCCATGCACTCCCTAACCTCAAAGCTACCACCTTACTCCCTACTGCCTGTCCCTCTCAGAGCCCTGTGCTTTCCACCCGCCAGTGCCCATTCCCTTTGCTTTCCATCCATCTCTGCCCATCTCTCTAGCATCCCTTGCTCCCAAGTCCCCTCACTGCCCATTTCCCTCTCTGGTGTTCCTCCCTTCTCACCTCAGAATTTCAACAAGGAACGTTCCCTTCAGTTAGTCACTCAAAGCGAATTCAGTTGTTTTCGTTCAGGTCCCTCTTCCTCACCTAACAGCAGCAGGGGCTTCTCTCAGTCACAGACGCCTTTGCCTGTCCATCAAAGTGCTCCAGGCACCCCTGGAATCCAGCAACCAGTTCTGCTGAAATGTCCGTAAAGACTGCAGGATCACTGCCTAAGTGACAGCCCCCTTTAAGGAGTCCCCTGTGGCCCCAGCACTAACAGCATGACGGACTCAGACAGACTCAGACAGACACACGGACTAAACAGTTACCCAGTTCACCGGAATGCAGCTCAAGTCTCCGCAGGCAGTGCAGTACTCAGTCACTGGCGGCCAACAGGCAACCTACTGTATGCAAGAAGAGGCAAATCAAGGTGCCTACAACTCAGGGAGAGAGGGGGGTTAGAAAAAGATCCCTCCCCTTCTCCTCTTCTTCCCCTCCTGGCCCCCTCCATCAGATCTCCCTGTCAAATTATCACCCAGTTCCCCTGTGGGCGGAGTGAGAGAGAGGGGAGTGTGTGTGAGCAATAGAAATATCTCCTCCCCTCCCTTCCACTACTTCCCTCTCTAGACCTTGAACTGTAATAGGAGGCACTGGCAGACAGAGAACGGTGGAAAGAGGCCATGGCAGGCAGAACTAAGGACAGAAGTTTCTAGGCAGCGGTTACAACATTCAGTCGAACTAATCCAAGTCCCGTTACACTCACTGGAACAAAGCAAGCTCTCCTCTCACACACCATTTGAGAAAGCCCAACCAGCCTGTCTCACATCCCCAGCTCCTTAAATTGTGGAATCCCCTTATGCTGGTCTGGGACATGGAATGAATGACCTTAAACTCCACCAGCAACCATTACGCTAAGCCGGCTTCCGCGCTGGAGCCCAGCACAGAGTAACATGAATGAAGAACCCAGCTGGTCAACCTGCAACGTGGGAGGGAGGAACTAGGAGCTGAGAGACAGAGAAAGGTTTTTTTTCGATTGTGCTCGGGGCAAGCTATTGAAATGTCTGCGCTTTACTGCGCACACAGGAACATCCAGTCTGAGTTCATGGCTTGTGTAAAAGTATCATTCTTGGCCAATGCCAGCATGCTCCAGGCCTTTGTTTTGACACATGCTCCCTCGGTTGTTTTCACGTGATGCCACGGCTTGTTTAAATGAACGCTCCCGGTGTATCTTCCATAAATGCTCCCAATTCCTCTTTAGAGCAGCTTCTTTGTATCTATATTTGTGTCTCTACTGGGAGTGATTTAGGCCTGGCTACTCGCATAATCGGTTGCAGGACCTAGGGTGCCTCCGGTTTACTCATTAGGACTCAGTCTCCGACCCCCATTCTGCAAACACAGACCCTGGGCACAAAGCTAAGGGTTTGCAGGATCAGGGCCTATACATTCACACTGGGCTCCCAATGCACTTCCTGATCCATTGATCTAGGTTGGGCACAACTGGGTACTGAGTACCTGCAATTGCCATCAGTGGGAGCCCATCACATGGAAGTTGAGGGCACTTGGGGAACAACAGGAAACAATCAGCCCCTGGATGTGCTGGGACTTCGGAGTGAGGCTGTCGGTTCTTTTATATCATTTCCCAACAAAATTCAGCTGAGACTCCAAAAGGGAGGTGGTGAGGTCATATTTACAAATACTCAGTGACTCCTGATGTAGGCAAGGATCCCAGGGCAATCTGGGCAGTGTTTAGATGGTCATCCTGTAATAGTAGGGCCCTCAGCATAAGCCAATACATAGCGACTCAGGATTGTGTTTTATGAAGTGTGTGTGTGGGCGGGGGGAGGGGGGGAGGGAAGAAGCCTATTTTCTATTTGGACATGCATTTGTCTCCATGCAACCACTGAACCATAGGATCAGAGCCTGGTCCAATCTATCACCCCACCCGGCCGCCAAAGCCACATAGAGAGACTTTGAAGCTGCTCTAATAAGGCTGCTGAAAATT